AGTTGGTGGTTGCCTGGAATGAGATACCACAGGAGGACATTGACCACCTGATCAGAAGCATGCCTAGGCGCGTTGGAGAATGCGTAGCACATCAGGGTGCATCCACACATTATTAAAGGTCAAAGGGCTTTAAAGCAGTGCAATCATTTTGAAATTTTTATCATTTACTTATTATGCTTCATTAAGTACTTGTACAAAATTTTATTAAAATAAAACCATTTAAACTGGGTGTTCGGATTTATATGTCACTTAGTATATTTTGTTTGATCTATACTATGCTTCTTTATGTTTATGTGTAGGAATATGTTCCAAAACTACTTTGCAGTCTAATGGAAATAAACATTATTCTCTTCTATTCTATTTTATACAGAATGGAGACTTAAGTGTTGAATTGCTTCATCGCTTTGAAGATCGCAGACAGCAGAAGTTACTTCAGACATTTTCTTTAAAAGTTCAAATCAACTTCCACTTTTCTTACTCGCCCAATGTCCGTTTGCCAATCAAGATGCCGGTGCGCTAGTGCCCGCTCAAAAATAAAATCATCCATAGGCCAAGAAATATGGAGATTTTGTACAAGCAGATTCTACAATTCTGACAACATTAAATTTTTTGATAGAATTCTTAGGTAGTGCTTAGTTGAGATTGGCATCATGATAGGACTGGAGCACTTGCACGCCGGTTTTGCAGAGAATTTAATTATTTATCGTTTTGCTTCTATGGAAAGTTGTCGTATAACATATTACTGAGTCGCTAAGAAAGAAATATACAGGTCATTTAAGAGGGATGACCCTGTGGGGCACACGGTGGAAGGGGGTCTTCTAATCAGTGGTGAATAGCCTCCAAATGAACACCCTGAATAATATATATGGAACCATATTTTCAGTTTTAGGTAGTTTCAAGCTTAATATGTCAGTAAATTATGAAATTCACCAAAAGAAAATCATTGAAAAGTGTTTGATCTAGGAACCAGTGCTCTGTCATTAATAAAGAGAAATTCAAGTCGCTGATAAGTCATCAAAATAGTAGAAAAAATATATGATTTTGGCATTTAGAACAGATCGACAGACCGATAGACCGACGAAAATGACGTAAAAATTACTACCGCCAAAACTGTAGGAAGACATTACCTATTTCCTGGCCTACTACGAGTTCCATAAACTTCGGAAAACTAGGTTATTCTTAACGCCAATAAAGGAAACGCAGTACGAAGTATCGAAGCTACCATCAGATCAGAGGATAACTTAGGCTTTGGCAAGTTTAAATACGTCAGCGGACGGCTGTAAATCTCGTTTAGAGAGCTGTTTCTCAGAAAGTTCCGGCGGAAAATAAAACTTTTTTCGTTTCATTAATTCTTAATGCTGAAGTTCGGGATTCGCTCGTCCATTATCGGATGTGTGATTTTAAGGGTGATCTTCAGGGGTTCGAGAACCTTTTATTACCGTCTAAAGTCTAGCTGGTATGTATGTATTGGTTAAAATGCAAAAGTAGGACAAGAACGAACGGGCAAGGAAAATCAGAAAATCTAAGCGTAACTATGTCAATTCGTTGTATCATGTTTGATTTATCTAGTCTTTGACAGCCTAAAAAAGGATACAATATAAGAAAATTTATCTTCACTTGGTTTTAGAGGTCATACTTTAAATTGGGTTGAATCACACATCTGATATGAGTATTATTGTAAAGATCGACAAGCTACATAGTGAACATGATGAGGCCAAAATGATTATTCGGTCACTTTTGGCCGGAAACGTCATTGACTAAAATGACGACTTTATTGCCCCATTTTTATGAAGGCAACAAGACGTCCTTAGAAGGCTGTCAATATCACGTCATTATTCGGTCACTTTTGGCTGGAAACGTCATTGACTTAAAATGATGACTTGATTGCCCCATTTTTATGACGACAACAAGACGTCCTTAGAAGGCTGTCAATATCACGTCATTATTCGGTCACTTTTGGCTGGAAACGTCATCGACTAAAAAATGGCGACGTGATTGCCCCATTTTTATGACGACAACAAGACGTCGTTAAAACGCTGTCAATATCACGTCATTATTCGAACATTTTTGGTCGGAAACGTCACTGACTAAGAAATGACGTCTTTATTGCCCCATTTTTATGACGACAACAAGACGTCCTTAAAAGGCTGTCAATATCACGTCATTATTCCGTCGCTTTTGGTTGGAAACGTCATTGACTAAGAAATGTCGACTTTACTGCCTCATTTTTATGACGACGACAAGACGTCCTTAAAAGACTGTCAACATCACGTCATTTTGCGGTCACATTTGGCTGGAAACGTCATTGACTAAAAAATGACGACTTGATTGCCCCATTTTTATGACGACAACAAGACGTCCTTAGAAGGCTGTCAATATCACGTCATTATTCGGTCACTTTTGGCCGGAAACGTCATTGACTAAAAAATGACGACTTTATTGCCCCATTTTTATGAAGACAACAAGACGTCCTTAGAAGGCTGTCAATATCACGTCATTATTCGGTCACTTTTGGCTGGAAACGTCATCGACTAAAAAATGACGACGTGATTGCCCCATTTTTATGACGACAACAAGACGTCGTTAAAACGCTGTCAATATCACGTCATTATTCGATCATTTTTGGTTGGAAACGTCACTGACTAAGAAATGACGTCTTTATTGCCCCATTTTTATGACGACAACAAGACGTCCTTAAAAGGCTGTCAATATCACGTCATTATGCCGTCGCTTTTGGTTGGAAACGTCATTGACTAAGAAATGACGACTTTACTGCCTCATTTTTATGACGACGACAAGACGTCCTTAAAAGACTGTCAACATCACGTCATTTTGCGGTCACATTTGGCTGGAAACGTCATTGACTAAAAAATGACGACTTGATTGCCCCATTTTTATGACGACAACAAGACGTCCTTAGAAGGCTGTCAATATCACGTCATTATTCGGTCACTTTAGGCTGGAAACGTCATTGACTAAAAAATGACGACTTGATTGCCCCATTTTTATGACGACAACAAGGCGTCCTTAGAAGGCTGTCAATATCACGTAATTATTCTGTCACTTTAGGCTGGAAACGTCATTGACTAAAAAATGCCGACTTGATTGCCCCATTTTTATGACGACAACAAGACGTCCTTAGAAGGCTGTCAATATCACGTCATTATTCGGTCACTTTAGGCTGGAAACGTCATCGACTAAAAAATGACGACTTGATTGCCCCATTTTTATGACGACAACAAGGCGTCCTTAGAAGGCTGTCAATATCACGTAATTATTCGATCACTTTGGGCTGGAAACGTCATTGACTAAAAATTGACGACTTGATTGCCCCATTTTTATGACGACAACAAGACGTCCTTAGGAGGCTGTCAGTATCACGTCATTATTCGGTCACATTTGGCTGGAAACGTCATTGACTAAAAAATGACGACTTGATTGCCCCATTTTTATGACGACAACAAGACGTCCTTAAAAGGCTGTCAATATCACGTCATTATTCGGTCACTTTTGGTCGGAAACGTCATTAACTAAGAAATGACGTCTATATTGCCCCTATTACGACGACAACAAGACGTCCTTAAAAGGCTGTCAATATCACGTCATTTATCGGTCACTTTTGGCTGGAAACGTCATCGACTAAAAAATGACTACGTGATTGTCCCATTTTTATCACGACAACAAGACGTCCTTAAAAGGCTGTCAATATCACGCCATTATTCGGTCACTTTTGGCCGGAAATGTCATGGACTAAAAAATGACGACTTGATTGCCCCATTTTTATGACGACAACAAGACGTCCTTAAAAGGCTGTCAATATCACGCCATTATTCGGTCACTTTTGGCCGGAAATGTCATAGACTAAAAAATGACGACTTTATTGCCGCCATTTTTATGACGACAACAATACGTCCTTAAAAGACTATCAATATCACGTCATTATTCGGTCACTTTTGGTCGGAAACGTCATTGACTAAGAAATGACGTCTATATTGCCCCATTTTTACGACGACAACAAGACGTCCTTAAAAGGCTGTCAATATCACGTCATTATTCGGTTACTTTTGGTCGGAAACGTCATTGACTAAAAAACGACGACTTTATCGCCGCCACTTTTATGGCAACAATAAGACTATCGTCACATAGACGTCATATCGACCTCAAATAGACGTCATATCCACGTCATATAGACATCATATCGACTTGGTATCTGATCTTTTATCCGACATACTAAGACGTCAATCGGGTGTGACATTAGACTGTCATAATGACGTCATTTCAACGTTATCTTTGTTGGCCGACGTACGTCAGTAGTTTTCTGAAAATGCCGACATTATGACGTCGCTATGTTCACTGGATAATGTCTGACAGATTCTCAGTTCATCTTGGCGTACCACAAGGATCAGTGTCGGGTCCGTTGTCCATACAATTTATAAGTAACCTCCCAAGTTTCATTGCAAAAGGTACAATGACAATGTTTGCTGATGACACTACAATCACAGTTTCTGGCAGTTCTGTTAAAGAATTTTATGAGAGCGTCTTTATAGTTTTTGAACAGATGGTGTGAAAGGAACGAGGTATTGAACGAGGACAAAACTTCTGCAATCAACTTTCGTATGATAAAATTGTGCTTTTCTGTGTATTTTTTCATAAATAAAAACAAATTTAAAAGACATTCCGATGTGCATAATTACAATACTCGTAACAAAGACGATTAGATCCCTTTGTTGAACATCAGCAACTTTCCACTTTTCTTGGAAGGTGGCGGATTCGTAAGATATATAGAAGGCACGCGAAAGAACTGGAGCATGGCTCCGTTCTAGCTACACCGGCAGGAATCAAGCCCGGACCATATTCTGTTAAGTGTCTCGGTACTGCGGCATTTAGGCTTCGCCTCCGCGAGTGCTGGTCAATAATAAAATCGCGAAATGTAGTGCCAATAGATCGGAGAGTATATTCACCTCGGTCTGCGAAGACCGGATGGCATTCTTCAGCCTCACTTTTCCGAATTCTTCGGAGGCCAAGCGTGCGCGTCTAGCCGCGACGTCGCCGCCTGACGCCGCGACGCTCTCGGCGGCGGCGTCGGCGTCAGAGCGCCCTCAGTTCGACGCCAATTCCGCAGCGAGGAGGAGCGACGCTGCACGTCGTGACGCCGGCCTCTGTCACCGCAACGCGTGCCGAATAGTCGAATTGCCAGTGTGACGTCAGGGGAGACGATTTGAGACCGTGAGGTGCCATGGTTATTTGAAAGGGTTACCGTCCGAATTTCATTCAAACATGGTGAGTTGGTGATTTGCATGTACTGCCGTTTTGATTTCCGGGATTTTGTGATGTAGTTGGAGATAGGGATAATCAACGATAACCAATACATTGAGCATTTACTTGTAGATATTCACAGGTGGTTTGGCAGTGATCAACTGTATTTGTACTCAGAATAAATATCGCTTGTGAGGTTCCATAGCGTCCAGAAAAAATAGAAAAATTTAGATAGCTCTAAATACCAGTTGGAACACAAGTGAAGTCTTTGGGGTTACATTTTGATGCAAGCATGGATTTTAAAGAACGTCGTGAGGATCTAGTCTCAAAAATTAATAAACCGCTAAACCGCTGTCTTGATTCGGGTCTAAAGGCTGTCGTCGGTTGGAATTTCTTCCTGTAGACTGTAGGCAGTCAACATCCAGCATCGGAAATGGCAGGACCACTGAAGAAGCTTGCCACTCCTGCTAGCAACTGGCCGCGAAAGCCTTAACCAATTTGTCAAAAATTTATGCTCAAATCTGTCATCAGATGGGTGAAGTTTCTTAATTTTTCTTCAGACTGGTTCTGTGCGTTCCTGAAGATTTCGATAATCTACGTAAACATTCTGATTAAGATTTTTTGCATAGTCTTATTCATAAAGGGTTTCTCCTTGACTGCAGGTCCTAAATTTCATCAAAAAATGTTTGAGCCATATTTTCGGTAATTTCAAGGTTACAAATGTTTCAAGTTCTTCAGAATTTTCAAGATTTTCAATGTTTTTCAAAATTTTTAGTTCTAAAAGTTTACATTATTGGTTATCAAGATTTTTAAAAATCTGCGAAATTTTGAAAATTTTCATAATTCCAGAATTTACAAAATCGATTCTCAACATTTTCGAAAATTTCAATATTTCAAAATGTTCAAATTCTTCAGAATTTTCACGATTTTCAAAATCATTAAGCTTTTTAAAGTTTTCAGGTTTCTAAAAATTTTCAGTTTTCAAAATTTTTATTGTCGGCTATCACGATTTTTCAAAATATGCGAAATTTTGAAAATTTTTACAATTCCCAAGGCTTTCAATATTTTCAAAATTGATTCTCAGCATTATCAAAATTTTTGCGCGCAGCCTCAGAATTTTCGAAACCTTTAAAATATATAAAACCAAATTTTTCCGATTTTAAAATTTTCTGAAGCTTGGAAATTTCAAGATTTTCAGCATTTTTGGATATCTAAAGCCTACAAATTTTCAGAATTTTCATTTTTTGTTTTCAAAATTTTCAAGATTTGCTGTTTTCAAATTATTTGAGTCCCTTAAGATTTTTGAAACCGATTTTCAAAATCAAAATTTTCAAAGTTTTCTAAATAATCAAATTGGAATGGACATTTTTGCTTTCCGCCTCTAGAGCCGCTGTTTCTTGCTAAATATCCATTATTATTATTGATAGCTACTTGTGAGTGGAGCTTTGTTATTGAATTGATAAAACCTGTAACTACATGGGCAACGGTGTGACTAGGCGCGCCAGAATTGGGGGTCAGCCAGCAAATAAACAAGAAACTTCAACTGCTTTATAATTTTTGTAATTATGGTGGATGTGTACCTCTTATTTCAATGCCCATCCACCAAAATCCCAAAATGTATAAACCTTATGGTAGCATGTCACATTTTCAACTGTTTCTTGTATTTATTCTAAATGGTTTTCATCTGATTATTTCATGGTATGTATAGATATGTCTAAAAACCAATGTTATCAGTTTTTTATTAAAAAAAATAAACTTATTGTGCATTTTATCGTGCATTTTTTCCTCAATAGTAGTTTGCTAGTAAATAGCACATCTCTGAAATTGTATGCGAATATTTCACTTTTATGGAAGACCTTTTCTCTAAGAAAAATCTTCGATTTTCTTTAAATTTCATTTTGCAGCAGATGATAAGCTGGACATTGAATATAACTGGCACCCCGTGGTAAGTCTCTAGCCAAACCCTTCACAGTGACCTTGATATCCTTCACCTAAGGGCGCTCGCGAGTCAGTGAACTACATAGTCGAACAAGTTCGTTCAAAATTAATTCCTGAATTTAGAATAAACAAAATTAGAGCATCTTCACAAAACTCTTACAAATATAAAACTTTTTGGACCGTATCAAATGCTTCATGTCCAAAAAGATTCTCTTCTTCTTACTCCTTTCCTCCTATTCTTCCTCTTTTCCTTAACATTGCTTGGTTTCTGGGTTACCAGACCTGACAGACATAAGAGCAAGGTCTAAAAGCCAACGTTGACTTGACTTTGGTTGACTTCAAGCAAGAATAATACACTACCTTTTTTTCTGTGATGAGTTACTGAACACACACTGTATAACTTCACACGTGTAATTATCGCTGTCTCTCTCCCACTTTGATGTATAATTGATCACAATCAACAGTTAATTAACGAGCGAGGTACTGATACTCATACATGAATACTCTACATAATTAGTTCTAAGAAATTGATGCTGACAAGAGTAAGGGAACAGAGGAACAACCACCGAACTTTCATAAGGTGAATGTGACACGATCAGTATTTAACTAGCTTTTTCATGACATATAAACCTTTCGTCTGTATAGTTAGATGTAGTTTTTATTATCCTCATGCATGATATCTCCTTTTATATATATATATATATATATATATATATACTAAGTGACATATAAATCCGAACACCCAGTTTAAATGGTTTTATTTTAATACAATTTTGTATAAGTACTTAATGAAGCATAATAAGTAAATGATAAAAATTTCAAAATGATTGCACTGCTTTAAAGCCCTTTGACCTTTAATAATGTGTGGATGCACCCTGATGTGCTACGCGTTCTCCAACGCGCCTAGACATGCTTCTGATCAGGTCGTCAATGTCCTCCTGTGGTATCTCATTCCAGGCAACCACCAACTCCTCTCGAAGTGCTTCTAGAGTCTGAGGAGGACGTTGCAAATTGAGCAACCTCCTACCCATCATATCCCACACGTGCTCAATTGGGGATAAGTCGGGAGATCTTGGTGGCCATAGTAACAATGTGACATCATGTGATGAACATGTCTTTCAACAAAAAACTGTGGATTCCTCCTTTCACCACGTCGCCTTCTAACCCTGGCACGACCATCGTGCATGCCTAAACAAAATCGAGACTCGTCACTAAAGACAATACTGTTCCATTCCTGATCCCAGAGTGACCGTTGTCTGCACCACTCAAGCCAAACAAGCCAAAACTTCTCATTCGTCGGTAAACACTTCGCATGCCAATAGGTCTTCCGTGTTCTGCAAACCATTCATTTGCAATGGACCTGGTAGTGGAAAAACGGTCCCTTAAGGCCAATAATCTTAGGCGGCGATCTTCACGGTCTGTTGTTCTACGGCGGCGTCCAGCGCCGCTTGCTCTTTGCGTATGGCCTTCTCGAATCCATGCCTGACAAAACCTAACCACAGTGTCTACACTTCTTTGCACTCTAACTGCAATTGCCCGAAAAGAAATTCCAGCTTCCCGAAGTCCCACTATACGGCCCCTATCAAACTCACTAAGTTGACGAAATCGTACAGGTCTCCGTACTCTAGGCATCGTAACCGATCGTAAAGGATGTCGAGAACCAAAATCCGCCAAAGTTGATTCTTTACTGCGGCTGAAATATATATTCATTAGAATCCGTTGGACAGTACGTCGACTAACACCACATACAGTCTCCAATTTGCGGGTACTTAACGTAGGATCTACATAAACTTGCCCTAAAACCCCTATTTCTATTGCTTCGTTCCTTATGGGATTTTCAATGATGCATTTTTTATTGGCGACTAACCCGGATTCCCGAAATTTAGCGACAAGTTCTAGAACATATTTATTAGCGCACTGATTATGTCCGAAAAATATTTCGATAATTTCAACTATTTCTGCTGTGGAATATACCATGGTTAATCTATGTAATAAAGCGTTATAAGTTATTTTAGCAACAAAGTTTGGTCTAATCAATCGCAAACTATGTACTAGATTCCTATTTGAAATAAGTACGAGATATTTCCTTATCTTTCTTCAAGAAATAACTGTTTTGCCACAAAAAACGCTCCAATAGCTATTTTCAACAACAAAATGATAAACAAACCATGGACGTAGTGAAGAAAAGCATTATTAAGTAAATTCTTTTAGTCAAATTTCCAAAAAAAAACTGAGCTGTCAGTAAATGCGTCTGTTTTGTTTTCGATGCGCCACCCTGTATGTGTACATATAATGTGCTGATATTATGTACAAGTATATTTACACTTTCACTGTTTATTTGTATACATGTTTATTTATTGATGGCTATTGTTAATATTGTTCTGTGAATGTTTGATTACCATTGACTTGTTCAGTACCATTGTAATAATTGCCTGAATAAAGCCTTTTGAATTGAGCACGGGAAAGGCATTGATATGTTGTACTTTTATTCTGATAGGAGCGCTAATAAATACAGTATGTTGTCCAAACGGTGTGTGATTTATGCGATTAAAGATATATTTGAATTACTAGTCTGCGCCACGACCTGTGCTGGCTAACGTACCAGAAAAAACTATTGAAAAGTTTGTAAATATGTCGTAATATGCCTCGTTTGAGTGCAAATTTTAATAACACGTTGGCTGTTTTTCGTTTTATGAAACGTCAATTTTTATCGAAGAGGCGATACCGCCTGAACATATCAATTTCCTATGGATGCCTCATGTCGACATTCGTCGTAAAAACCTTATATCCAACTGAAAATACATTTGAGTCCTGTAAGTGAACGTGCCAGGTCAAAACGAGGAAACCAGTCTGGACTTGAAAGGTAATACATTGCAATCCTGTGAAAGAATGAAAAAGTAATCAAGTTGAGATTGCCGGGCATTTCTCTTAGGAAGAAACATATCGACGCTGAAACACAAAGTGACGTTTACGTCTGATGCGCCACAAGGACGTTATTACATTTCGCATGGTTGCGAAATGACTCGCACCGAACACCGAACGAATATCCATCTGGAAAAAGCAAAGAGACGGAAGGAAGTACGGAAAATAACCGCACTAGGGCATAAACGTCGTCCTCACACGGAATAACAAATAAGGCTGCAATTTCTTGCTGCTGGTGGACGAACTAAAAATGTCGATTGCTATTGATTTTCAGAGAATTTAATGCTTTATTGTCTAGAGCAGAGTTCCCCAAACTTTTTTGTGTCGTAGACCCCTTGCCATGTTTTTCCGTGTTGTATCTCTTATATAAAATATACGTAACATTAAATAAACAGGTGTCTGACCAATAAGTGCCCGCATTGAAAAAAAATGAGAGGGATAAAATAAAAAAAAAGTTTTTTACTTAAAATAGTACAATAAGCGAGTTCGTGTATTAATTATAA